CCCCAAAACCCCAAAACCCCAAAACCCCAAAACCCCTTAGAACCTTTGTGCATTGATAAGTCGCAAGTTTTAATAGTATTTCAAGAAGAGAGGTAAAAATGAAAGCTAAGAGCATTTCTTACAATTTAAATCTTGCTGGCAAGCTACAAGATAATCCTGTATCCCACGATGGTGCAGGGTTGCCAGAGTGTTTCCCTAGCCAATCCGAGCTGATTGGATGCTTGTTCAGAGACTCTATCAAGCTGAACTCCAAATGGATAGGTGTAACTCTTCCAAGAGTAGACTTTATGGTTGGTAAGAGGCAGGAACAGTCAAGCGAGCTGGATGAGCTCAAAAATAAAATCTTATCAGACTTTTGCCCCTTTGACGCGATTTCACATCCCTCTGGACCAGATCAGACTCCTGCGATGCCTAAGGTAAGGCTATGATTAGCTATTGAGCTAAGACTTTTGAGTGACAGTTTGGTACTTTAATTATATTCTAATTCTCACCTACAGCCATCTATCAAAAAGGAGACTTCAGATGTGTCCGAGCATGAGCACTTTAGGTCCAATGAAGAGGAGAAATTCACTGCTATCAAAACCAAGCAGTTTGATACCTTCCTATTCAAGCCGATGAAGGGGGAGACTGAAGACATGGCAACTGAGAGGCTGAAGAACTTACTCAAACTCAACTATAAAATCGACGTGGCAAACAACACTTTTGATATATATTTCGAAAGAAGCCATCAGACTAATCGCAAAAGAAGAATGCTACGTTGTAGGTACGATGGCTGATCCAAGAATTTTAAGAAAGCCTGGAACTTGTTTGATCACATGAGGATTCACACAGGCGACAAGCCATTTAAGTGTCATATCTGTGGGAGAGGGTTCGCTCAGAATGGGAATCTTACTAAGCATATTAAACTTCACACAAGTGAGAATCGTAAGATTCATCAATGAGAAATATGTGGAAGAAAGTATACTGAAAGGTTCAATTTAAGAGTAAGTGTTAATATATTTCCATCTGTCTTCTTACCAAATTTTGCAAAATTCTCTTTAATCTGACTGGTATATCTAGGTACACATGAAGAAGCATGAATAAAGATACATCACCTGTTGGACTTGTAATGATTAATTATTCGAAAAATTTCCCGATTAACTTCTCTTTTCTCACAATTTTTCTTGCAGCTATTGGAGCACTGGTTAGGCCCAATTGCGTTTGTCAAAACCCGGATTGTCCCGAATGTGTTGAGCTGGGCACAACTAAGGATGGGTGAGGCCTAGACCCATCTAAAATGGATTTCTTTTACCAGTTAAAATTTAGACTTGAGGTGGGGTACAATAAGTATTATTAGAGGCAATTAATCATCACTTTGTTTGGAATAGGAGTGATGACGTTAGAGCAAAAATACCAAAAAAATAGATCAGTTGATATAAAAATATTGTGGAATGAAGGCATAAGGGATTATAGGTCAGACATTTCATCATTGCTTGTAGTCAATGTTTATAATTTATTTGCTTTCGACAGATTAGAGCATAGATGACAACAGAAGACCTAAAAATTTGATAAATAAACCAGGAGGCTAAAATGGTGACTGGTACGTATTGGTCTCACTAAGAGGTGCTGGAAAGATAAGGATTAAAGGGAGCGTAATTGAGGTCTGCTTTCAGTTCTGATAGTTATTTTCCATCATGAGGCTTCACGCTTGTTGGATAATTTCTGATGTACTCCTGACAAGCAATTGTTGGATATTAATACCAATCAAGATATGGAGGAGTCGTGAAAAAGTTAGATTTTTGATTTATGGTAAGCTATGCTAAGCTTATCTCAGCATCTCTGTGGTTTGTACAGGAGCTGCTCTTTCCGACTCATAAGGCCGTAGCTTCCTAACTGAAGATGGATACATTTAGTTTTTGGGTAATAACTACTGAAATAACCTGAATTATATTATCCAAACACTCTGTATTTATTACATCAATAAAGCCGAAGAAATGACGAGAACTTAGCATTCAGAACGAGAAATGACACGAGGATTTAATGAAGTCAACTCACTTGGTGTTACTGTGAGCTTGTGGTTTGCCAAGCCTTCGTCCAGACAAGAGGCTCTATTTCTTTGAATTTTGGCATCGAAACCCTGGCAAATTTTGGAGGCCAAACTAAGTTGCGTTGCTTATTTAGGCAATTGTGTTAACTGGAAATCGTTTTGTTAATAATGCAGAATTTAAGTAAAAGTTATTGGCTAACTTGTAGTACCTATATACTATGACTCAATAAATGGCAATCGAGAAGGGGTTTTGGGGTTTTGGGGTTTTGGGGTTTTGGGG